GAACCAATGATGGATAAAATGTAGTCTGATTATACTTGCCACGATTGCTTCTATAGTGTAACTACATTGCAACTGTACTGTAATTTCACGGTAATATTACGCTTTAATGGTTCACGATTATGATTACATGGTTATTATACAATTATTACCGTGTAATTACAATGGTATTACAGGGTAATTACTTTGTAGAAGTAAATACTGATACAAACTTGTATCTTATACATACTACCACACACTTACACATGAATATCATACGTATTCACACCGCAAATACATATGCACGTGTAAGTGCAAGATAGTAGAATTCGCTCGTCTACATCATTTAAATAAACAATTATTCGAATAAAGTTCTATCCAGATTTTTATTCGTTAAAGGTGAATATTAAAAATAACGAATAATCATCCTCCAGATAAATTATTCAAATAAAATTGTTTTATTCGGATAATTATCCAAATATAGACTCGTTAACAACAGAGCCAAGTTCAATATTTTACTCTACGTCCAACCCTAGTTGAAATCCACGTAAGCTCGATATCCGAACGAAACTGTGACAGTCTCTGTCGCTCGACATCCGATCGCAAAGAGTTAAAATGGGACATCTTGTGCAATTCTCCACCATCGTTAACAATGGCCTAGTATGCTCGAAACCCACACGTGTGAGCGTTGAACGAAAGTAAACTCTCCGGAAGCCTGGGCAGTCAAGAGACAGCGTACAGAGAAAAAGAGTTTTCAGCAACTACGTATAGAGGAGTCTCTTCTTCTAATCACCTTGCCCCGAGAGACTTTGAAGCGCAAGGTGCCGTCGCGATCCGCAGTACAGACTCTTCTTTTCATACGACAGAGTGAGGCGTGTAGGTACGAGGACGATAGAAGCTCGCCGTCGGAGACCGCCATGAGTGTTTCGTTTTTTTTTCGTCTAAATATTCTACACCGCCCTTTATCCCGTTTTTCCCCCCCTTTTTTTTTAGTTTTCGTGTCTCAGGTTCGTGCTTGAACCGGGGCCAACGCGATAAGCGAGTCATTTCGAGGCGAGCGTCGTCGTTGGACTAAATTTTCCTTATACATTTTAATACGTTCCTACATTTTCTTCCGCACGAGAACGAGGGTGGTGTAGTTTGCGCGAAACATCAGGACGATCCCGACTACGGCCACACATAGAGGTATAGGCATAAGGCACAGGTAGCCAGTATCGCTATAGAGAACTCTCGAGCTCTTACTCGGTACTTGTTCTTTACTTATCCATTCGGTTTTCCTTTCACGTATTATTTCTTTTTTTTTTTTTTTTATTTTTCGTTTTCCTTTCATTTAAAGTTTCTTTTTTCTCGTTTGTAGCAAGACGAGACGGTCCAAGCTGGCGTGCAGGTGGACCGACCTAGCGCGAGCTGCTTTTGTAAACCGATGAGAAGTTTCTCTTTTTCGTGACATATATAAAGCTGTTTTATATATGCGACTTGTAGGGATGGGGCACAATTTAAACAGGTACGATTCGATAAATGTAAGAAAGAGAAGGTGTAAAGCTGCTCGGTGACCTCAGCTGGTCCTTTTACGTTCGTCTTCGACGTTTAACGAAGATTCGACTCATGCTTGGTACAGTCTTTTGATTTATTTTGTCTTTATCCACTCTACGAAATCGTTAAAACAAATAAATTACATATTCCCTGATCTACGATCGATAGAAATGAAACATTTTACAAAGAGAACACGAATAAAAAATCGCGCAATGCATATTGAAATATTATTTTCATTAATATAAATTTTGTTGTGTATCTTTTCTGAGAAAAATTCTAAAATTCTTTATATTATTTACTCGACTAACGTCTAAAGGAAATAATTAAAATACTAACAATAAGTTGACTCTGTCGTTCGTGATATTAAAAATTACCAGGTCACGTCCAGTATCTGGCAAAGATGAGTCGAATCTTCATATTATCGAGAAACTTTTAGGCTATTGTATGCCACGTAAGGTTTGTCGAATGTGCCACATTTCAAATGGACGGTATTTCTACGTATCCCGATCGTAAACAGTGTAAGCTATGATGCTCTAACGACATTCGTAGACAAACGTTACGCTAGACGTGCCCGCGTTTAAACGGCGATGCTCAGACATTTGTTACATCGATGCAGCAATGAGTTTCCCGGAGTAAAATCGAATCGGGCTCTTTCGAATACCGATGTTAATACACAAGTACGATCGATAAGCCACACATGCTCGCGTATGCACGTACACTCGCGGCGCACAGCATGCTTGTCGCAGACACTGCGCATCGTCGTTCAAACAAAGCAATCGATTTCACGTCGAATGACACTGTCCTCTGGTACTCGCTCGGTTATACGGAAAAATGTATTAAATCATCCCACGGGTCGTGCAACATTTCCCTGAAATAGGACGGCTGGGCGATAAATGTAACGCGTTCCGAACAACCTGTCGAATGTAATGCTGACAAATTTAATAGATAGGATCAGGTAAGCCAGTGCAGTTTAAATAGGCATTCGAGCAACTTCCATACCGCTATTCGTTGAATTCAACAGCTAAAATGTAGAACGTTAGGTCAAAATTCGAAACTGGCTCCAACTTCAAGACAAAGTTAAACATGATTAAAAATACTAGTAGAACGATGGATCACGATACTCATTGATTGGACCACATTAAAACGACAGCTGTTTGCCTCTTTACTCTTTACTTTATCTTAAAATGAAATTAACAAAAACAAATAATTTTGGAAGTCAAGTTTCTTCTTTCTTCCTTGTTGATATGTTAGAGTAACAAAATAAGTGAAGCAAAAATTTTCCATCGGTAAATTAATTATTTAGTTTATTTCTACCACGCTAGCTGAGAGTTAGTTAATATTTGGATCATTGAGCGAAAGTCGAGGAGATTTATGCATTTTTTTTTTGTTAACTATGAATGACAGCAGTTAGATTTTAATGAACTCTTTAAGTAGCAAGGTAACGTTAGGTTTGTATCGAGAAATGATTGCATTGATTGTTTGGTAGTATATGCAAACAGCAATATGCTGAAGCTGCGCTTTAAGCTACTCGACCGAACAATAACTGCGGAAGTGTATCGCGAGCAATTGAACCGACTGAAGTCAGCAATACAAGCGGAATAGGAATTCCTCGCTCGACGGAAAAATAAATTTGGATCGAACGGAATAATAAAATTAGCGCAACGTTCCGATCAGAAATTTACAATTACTTGTATGAAAAAGTATGGAGTCTGAAACCTGAAACGATGTTAGAAAGGTAATAAAAAAAATATTAAAGAAAATAAGTAAATTATTGCGAGAAAGTTCAATTTAAATGAACGAGGAGAAAAATTTGCATTGTTTATGGGATGACTTAATATTTCTGGTCGTTAAGTGGACAGAGCAATATCCTCGCGAGAGGTCCCAGTTGAGATCACGAGTGCAGGTCGTGGAAATATTGATGGTCGCCGAAGGACCAACCGGAGAACACTGTGCATTCGAAATGTTCACCGTCTTGTGTGTTTTGGGGGGGAGGGAAAGTAAATCTTGCGGCCATCGTTTGTCTCGCCAATTTAATCTACTGATGTACTATTGGTGGAAGATACAGAGTGAACTCCTAAAAGCTGCGATGGTTTGAATACAAGTAACAAATACAACGAAAAACACATTTAGCGTTTTGTGTTCACGAGAGTTCATTTTACGTACCCCTTCAGTATGCCTCGAAGTGGTTCTTGTGTATCTTCCACCACTAATACGGTCATTGGCAAGACAACGAACGTGACGGTTCTATTCTAACGAGACGAACTCTGCGAACTGTTCAAACACTAAGCTAAACAATTGCTACGATCGTCGTAAGATTTGTTAACGACGTGGCGCACGGTGGTCAGAAAATCTTAAAATCCTGGCCAAACTGACATTTTGTGAACTTAAAAATCCAATAATTAAATATGGAACCTAAAATGAATACACTTTAAACTTTGATGCTTGTTATTTATATCGTCTTTTAAGGTTGATCTTTAAAAAGTCAAACATTACTTAGAGTATATGCTTAAATCGGTAATGTCGATAACATTTGTAGATCGACTGATATTTCCTTGCAACCATAAAGAACCGTATATATAAAGACTATACCCAAATGCTGACGTGCATATAAATAGATATAAGTGGGCCATTCCGCGCCAAATCGATCACTTTTGTACCTCGAGGTCAGGAATTTTGATGATACTGAAATACGTTCAAATCCATACGAAATTACAAAACATCGAAGTTTGCAATTTCATACATTTTACTGTTAGATTAGCAAGTTTGAAAAATAAAAAACAAATAGACAAACGACAGAACGAGATTAAACAAAGATTCAGGGCAAAATTGGTTTGATTCTTGATATTATAACAGACGGCAGCAATACTGCACGAGTTTTAAAAACTTCTGCATTCAATGTATCTATAACTGGCATGAATGAAATATTGATTATTTGCTTCATTGTTTAACCGATATAAAATGCCATCTTCCGCGCACGAAATACTTCCCCACGGTACCGAGATTATTTCTGTCGCATTATTACCAATTGGGCAAATTTTCTAATAAAGCCATCAAAAAGTAGCATTTTCTGTAATTTGAAAAAGATTTGTGAGATTTCCAACCACTGCACAACCAGTCAAAATAAATATTAACGTTTTATTTATACAATAGAAATACTACAAGTCCCGTTTTAATTTTTCACAAAACTGTTTCAAATAAAAGTTACTTTCGAAGAAGAAATAGCTTCGAAGATAATTGTTTTATGAATTACGTACGACAGTTACATGGTTAGCAGAGTTCGTCCAAATACTTCTCGTCGAAAACGAAATTGCCTGTTGAAAATCAGTAACATAAGACGTGACTTGGAACAAAAATAAAAATATCTTTTTACTCAGGCTATTCAGTCTTTCGCGCGAGATTTCCTATAGTGAACTACAAAGGGCTGTTTATTTGGTATACATATTGAACTTCGATACTTTTGGCTATGTAAAACAGAGAAAAAGAAGGCTTACCAAACCGACGAGTAGAAAAAATACTAGGAATGTTCGGCCGAGGATCGTGTGGCAGTAAACGTCGCCATATCCTACCGTGGACATCGTCACGATCAGAAAGTAAACGCAAGTCCAATACGAAAGCTGTTGCGGGTTCTTGAACTCGAACGGGTCCCCTGAGTTTTCAAGCTGCAAACAAACGAACACACGTAATCCAATATCCAATGGAATGTAATGCACTTTGGGCGAAAACATTGCTTTCAGAAAAATATTTTGAAGAGACTAACTCGCTCAACTTGAACAAACATAAAGATAAGATGGTGAGGGATTCGTGGTATAATAAAAAATGTGGTGACTCTTTGAGTACAAATAAACTAAAAATGCGGATTGAAATGTTTTTCGTACAGGAAAGTCGTTTTTGAGAAAATGAATCTTGAAAATTGGACGTGTGTGCCATGGAGTACGACTTGACTAACATGTCTGATCAATACTCGTTATTTCTACTTATTTTTCTTATTATATTAGAATCAATAATGTCAGTCATAATCGTATTTTCTCGAAACATATGAAATCCATAATGTGTAAATTATATATTTTTAGTGTATATGGACTTTGTTTTTATATACTGCACTAATACACTTAAGAATTCGTTTGTGCTTCAAATTGACATACAAAGTTTTGAGTCACCAAGAAACAATGAGAATGAATTGTCCAAGTATGTTCTACCTGTTTGTCGAAGAATTAGCTTGAAAACAGAAAACAATGTCTCACCAAATGAATGATGCCAGCAGCTGTCAACCAGACGGAGATGAAGATTGATACGAGTTGGGCGAGACGAATGGAGCTCGATGTCTTTAGAATGTTTAGGTACTGGAGGATGTCAGGGACCGTCATCAGTCGTAGGGCTCGGAGGAACCTCAGTCCGATCCACGTCCGATCGAGATATATCGACACGAAGGACGGTGCTATCGTAAAGTAGTCCACGAACGAATACATCTCCAGCATGAACCACAGCTTGTCACTGGCAGCGATAAACTATTGCAAAGAAAGAAACTATTGCAACATCACCTTCGTTGAGTGAGAATTTCATGGAAATCAAAATTTTGCATCGAGTACTTTACTACTTAATTTATATATATTGTATCGTCTCTATTATTTGTAAAATTGCTTGACTTTCATGATCTAATATGTATCACAATTATGAACAGAAATAAACACTCAATCAGAACTTAATTTTTAAGGTAAGAAAAATACGAAGATGTTAGAAATGGTGGTTTGCACTTACGCGTATAAAAAAGTAGACCATAAAAAATATATTGAAAGCTAAGTCTATCTGCTGAGTAATGTTGTTGCTCCATTTTTGGCAACGTTCCACCTCTTCGCTGTAACAAAAAATTGTCACATAACGCATATTAATTTATAATTCTTTATGAACTTATTTCAAGTTTAGAGAAAAATGAAAATATAATAAATTCTTACGTGTTTGTTTACTTTTTTCTGCTAGAAATGTACACACTTTTTAAATGCTAACATTAAGTATATTAAAAATTTGTTCAAATTACTCAAATATTCCATTTCAATTCTAATTTGACACAACCGTACAATCTTATACGGGATTTTGTTTAGCGAGAAAATCAATTTTGAAAATTGGTTAAATGCACGTTCGATTTCAAAGATAGCTTAGCAAATGTGTTTCACCATTAATTGTTACCTCTATTTATGTTGGTGTTTGTAAACATTGACGTTGGAAGAAATGGTGAGTAATTAACAAACACATTAACCAAATTATGTTCAATTGAAAAATTATTCCATATTTTTTCTTCACTTTTTTTAAAAAATACTATATTATCTTTCCGATTTTCTCGCTTATGTAAATATCTTGAGGGCGATACTGAATGAAATACAATTGACAACTTTACCGACAATACTGCAATTAATTTTCTTACCTGGAGGCATCGATGAAGTATATTATAAGCGACGCTATACTGAGAATGAAAACTAACACCACCTGAAACACAAAAAAAGGAAAGCCAATTAAAACATCTATTCAAAATGAAATAAGCAATCGTTAGAAATAAAAAATAAAATATGAAGTGAAGTAGTTGTAGACTATAAACAAAATTGAGGAGAAAGATAAAAGAAAAACGATGTAACGATGATCAGAAATTTATCTTCAAGAGAGTCGAGTGCATTACACCTAGTGTTACGAGCTCGATGCTCCTTTTCGCGTTCAAATTATTTTTAACCGGTTGTTAGCGCTCAGACCTCGTTGGAATAGGCTAGCCCAGTCGTTTCCGTGTTAGCCTGAGCAAATGGACTCTAAAGTTCAGGGTTACCATGTGCTGAAAATCGTAATAAGAGCATTGTCACTCCTCTGCGAGCTAGCGAATTTCTACGTCGTCGATCTAAGTTCTAATCAAATCTATCGCCTATATAATAGTCGTTTCAGTGAATCAAAAGTTTCGTTCGATATTCGTTTGCTATATACTTTCGTATTTAATTATCCCTCTAGAAAAAAAATGATGTTCTTACGAATAAAACAAAAATGTAACTATTATTATACATACTATACAAATTACGTAAATAAATAAATCTTACGTTAATACGTTTAATAAATATTTATTATTTATTATGTTTTAAAACTTCATTTAAATAAAGACCAATTAAGCATAAATTTTTTACCTCGAAATTTACAATTCGATATTCAATAACTGATCAGTTCTAATGGATAAATCTCGTGCATATTAACACTTAAATAAACGATTCAACGTTAGTATCGAAATATTGTTTTCGCGCGAAATGATGTTTAATAAATGGAAAATACGACTGAATTAACTGTCAAGCTCGTGAAATAGCGTTTCTAATTTTGGCTGGAAAGCGCAAAATAGTGTCGGCGAAGTCGAAACTTTTCAATTTCGAAAATTGAAAATTCTTATCGATCTCATCCGTTGGCCATTCTTAGCTGCCAACTGACCCATTGACCACCCTTGACCACTAGTGAGGACGTCCCACATCCCTACTCTCTCTATTTATATAACGTATCCCAATTTACCTACTTATTCAATTTAACCTAACTATCTGTCGCTTTTATTTTACATTTATGCTACCTGATCTGTGGTAATACTTGATTTTAAAAAGAGTAAAAATAGATTCAACAACTTTAGATTGCATTGAGAAACACGACGATTTTAACTACGAATTGTGAAAAGCTCGAAAAAAAATTATTTATTCGAATTATGTTAAAATTAATTTTAAAATGGCTTCGTTCTTGTACAAGAAATCACCCTGCCGTTTATGATGGAAAGGATAAGCACGAATCGTTTGTCGATGTAAACTGCCAGCTTTCGACTATGCAAAAACGTATTGTAAGACGTATTTCCTAATTTCATTCCTATTGATACGTCAGAAGCCACGCTTCCTGTATCCCCTTGTCAGATCTCTTATAAAGGTAGATGTATTTCCGATACGTGTTCAAAAGAAGAATCGCAATCACTCGACAAGGGATATCCGTTTTCTCCCAGCTAAAGAGATCATTTCACATGGAAAAATAGTCGTCTATTTATCTGCGCGCTATAATTGGAATTTAACCTTTAGTCGACGTCCAAGCAAGTGATCCAGCCGACCTACATATCGAAATCATCCTCTTTTTTGCTGTTTGCCGCCTATTTTTCTCCAAACGGTTTGTATCGGGTTCGATCATATCGGTCTTATTCGTTATTTAATTCGTCCCCGTCTCTATCTTTGCGCTGACGACAGGAGAGCTTTTAGACCTGATAGCCGTGCTTGTCCTTCGCATACACCGTTGCTATGGCTGGAACCCCTTACTCAGTTTTCTCTCCCTCGGAGTATTGTGTTTATATTATATTTATATCAAGCGCTTACACATAAGGCAGCAACAACCGTAGTTTAAAAAAATCAACCAGTCGCTGAAGGTCACTAACGAGAAGAAACCATCTGTAGTCTTCGATCAACCCATGAAAAATTAACATTCACTTCTGATTTTCCTTCTTTTTTTTCTCTCACTTTTAGCACAAATGCTAATTTTAAAAAGTGGAACATGATGTAGCACTCGTCTATATGTTTAAAAGTTTCATTAAATGAATTTTTATATATTTTTTAAAGCAAACAATTATCTCGACGATTAATTCGCTTAAGAAGATATTATTTACAGTCACAGCGACGGAATTAGAAAATTAGCACACGAACTGTTCGATAAGATACATGGATATTAGACTTAGAATTGCTAAGTTCAGAGCGACGAAAAGTGCAATAAATGATCGTTTAGATACATAGTTTATTATCAGAATGCATGTGGCTTACGGTCTAAATTGAGTATGCTTGCGAACTCAATTGCTTGTGCTGAAGCATATGATGTAATTGTGTTTACAGAAATCTGGCTCAATGCTAACATTTCGTCATCGGAACCTGGTCTTAGACCGATGCATGTGCAATGCGCATTGCAGAACACACTTCAAGGTCTAGAAAAGGGTCGATTTTTATATGGTGACGTGCACGAACAACACTGACGAACTGTCAAACCATACACGCGAATTTTTTCCTAAGAACTAATCATAAACTTATCCTCGCTAATTCTCGGGACAATCTGCACCATCTGAACAGATTTAGGGGATGGTATCTTTACGAATTTTTTATAACAATACTATAAGTTCAATTAAAATTAATTTTTTACTACGAATAAAACGTATGATAAGCTATAAGATGGAATTTCTTACGACTGTATTAGACGCGTGTGATCAAAATAGCGTTGATTTTAGTCACGGTGCCCTAGTGTCACTGACTTCGACTCCAGTAATGTTCGAGAATTCAAGAAGAAATTTATTAAATTTTAATATCAGTTTTATTATACTTCGGAAATTACATCGTACGATAGGCAACGTAATTAAGAATATCAGTGCCAAATATCATCAAAATCGGTTTAATGGTAATTCGAGTTATTACTGGCGCCAGTACAAAAGACGCGTTTAATGTTTGGCCATCAACACTTGGACATAGACGCCTTGAGCGTCGTATTTCTGTTATTACTACTATCTTTTACGAGACCATTTGTATATTATTTTTGAAGATTGAAACTATCATTCTGTAGAAAGGAATAATAAATTGAAAATTGGTTGGGTATGCCTGCAATAGAATCTACGAATTGGACATCGATATAAGTAGAATAAGTACTGTAAAATTTCAATTGGCCGGAACATTCGGGTCTGAAACAATACCAGATAATTGGATATACCTACATATAAAGTGATAAAAATGAGGAATTGGACAATTTTTATGAGGGGTTTCTCACTTTAAGGGGTAAAGAAACAACTATTCGATCATTCTTAGAAGTTTTAAATATTCAAAATACGTGTTGTTTGTATTTTGAAACATTAAAATCCTCGAAACCGTTCAGAAGTTATGATATTTTAAACATACGCATGAAATTTCAGGGAAACATTTTTGGTCAGACATTATATTTTTGGTAACGAATTTTTTTCTCGAAAGTACGTAGGATTTCTGGGGTATGTGTATTCACCAAAAATGATTGTAATTGAACCCTGCAACTGAAAATAATTTTTTCAGACCGATTTGAAATTTTTTTTTCACCGAAAAATTTAGGCACCTACAAACCCCTGTCGATTATTCTTAAAAATTCGTTTTTTATTTTTAATGAATTTGTTTGATGCCCTATAGAAAAATTGGCTAATACTTTTTTGTAGGTACCCATGAGCTCTACTTCAGAAAAAAGTTTCATTGAAATATGTTCAGTATTGCAGGAGTTATGGCCGTTTGAAAATTGGACCTTTTTTATGTGGGTTTTCTCACTTTACGGGGTAGAGAAACAAATTTTCCAACATTCTTAGAATTTCTAAATATTCTTCACCAACATACGCGTTGTTGAGCTGTACTGTAATGAACAAACGTGTCCCATAAATATTAAAATGCAATTATCCTGAAAACGAAACATTCTACGAACAAATTTTATTTCACATTTTCGACTTCTTTTTTATGTAGAATCACCCCTGGGACACTCTGTGTAAAATGCTGGACGATCCAAAAAGATAAGAACAATTAAACTTCATTCTCCAATAATCTAGAGCTTACGATAACTTTCAATTAATTTCTAACAAAGTTCCATAGGAAATCAAAATATTTATGTCGAGTGTAAAAGCAGCTAATTTTCACACAGTTCAAATTGACTCCCTTTTGTAAGCTACTCGCGTGTACATATTTACTGTACTATCTACTTTATCGCTATTCCTTTCTTTCCGTGTTCCGTTCGTTTCCTTCAAATAAACGACCGGGTCCTTGTGTACCTGACCTCAAGTAGATGTCACGAATGCCGCTACTTTCCTGTAACTTTGAGCATTTCTTTTTAGCAAACTGCACTGTACGATTCTGAAAGGAACGAAACTGGCTGTTGACCTGAAGTTTTCCTTCGACAGAGAAGTGCTACTGGATTCAGTAGCCGAAAGAGTGGTTTCAAGTTTCATACCACTTGAGTATATCCGGAGGAGTTCACTATATCGCTTCCACCGATTGCAGTAAAACATGTTTATATATGGCCCGTCTTTCTGTCTACCTATACGTATTTTATTTCTGAATTTTCCGATGACGCCACCCAACATCAAACGATGTTGGAGCACATGTTTGACATCCCATCAATAAAGAACGTAATGTATATTTTCAAGTGTACGGACACCATCGCAAACATATGAATTGATATCGTTTATCGCGTCTTGAAGTCCTAGCAGACTATTTTTCCATTTTTTCTACTCTAGCAAGAAATATAAAACTGGTGAGGATATTCAAATATACGGAAATTTATAAGTGAAGTAAACTCATGTATTATAATTGTTTTGTATGTCAGTAATTTATGTGGTGCGTCGAAGTTTCCGAAAAAGTATACTTTTTTTCGTTTTTCAGAGAAATTTTCCAGAAAAATCCATGCCATCGGTAAGCAAGCAAGAGATTAAGGGCATGGAACTTGCGTTTCATTGTCACGAAAAT